TGCTTCACTGGGGTTAATAACCTTGGGTTGTGCCCACAGCTATTAAATGTTCTCAACCCATCATTAGGCCCTTGGAAATGCTGCACATCTCCATTGCTGTAAAGCAATATAAAAGACTAGAGAGCCTTTTCCTCTGTTCACAGAAATGTGTGTTTGTGGCAAAGGGCATTATAACAATGACTGTGGTCAGCATCAACTGGAAACAGGATTTTACTTGTTCCAACACCTTGGAGATACAGGCAGCTGTCTCTGTTTATAATTCTCAAGTCATTTGTGAGAAACTGCATTTCTTTAACATATCATTTTTTAAACAGTGTATATTTAAATATTCAGTGTTTACTGGAAGCAGCAGGACCTGTGGTTTGCAATTCAGCTGAGGGTTTCATTACAGTTCAGAGGAAAGGGAAGAAGGAATTTAGTCTCTGAACGTTGGCGCCTAATGGCCAACAGTGGGTGCCAGCCCTGGCTACCTGGGCCTTCTGAAGGCTCCCATCATGGCAGAGCAGGCAGAGCTCTTGTGCACATCACTGAGACAGCTCTCTTCCTGAGTGCTATCGAGAGAAACAGAAATAATGTGGGGAGTGCTGGAAACTCTTGGACAATTTAAAGGAGAGTTCTCCGAGCTCCAGCTGAATGCTGGCAGTTCCTGCAGGGAGCTCAGGCAAAGACCCAGAGTCTCCAAAAAGCATCTTTAAAGCACACAGAGGCATCTTAGAGGACAGACTAAAATGCAGAGGGTAAATCTGGTCTAGACTGAAGGTAGGAGAACTAACACTTCTAGCAGCTTAAAGGTGTCTGACAGGTCCTTGTTTTCCTGCAGGTTTGGAGAGTTTACTAGTAGAGAGACTCCCCAGAATGACTTTGTTCCACTGGCTCTAGTTGAACACTGGCGTTGTTCAACTTACCCAAAACACTTTCCTTCTGGTTAGATCTAGTCTAGTGAAGTCACTCTAGGTGAAGGGCACGTACTTTCTCTACAGCAAGCTGTGGTGGAATTCTCCCCCAGAAACTGTTATCTCCTGCATACAGAGCTCAGTGCTGTGGTAACAGCATTGGCTCTGCTGATTAAAACCTGTTTCCCTTTGTGTCCACTGGAGTCTGGCACATTTTAGAGAGGAGACAGTAAGCAATATTGTGTTTCCTTTAAAATATATGCTGTGGGAATTCGTTAACTTGCTTTCTTTGACCCACACCTCCAAAAACCTGAAGAACAGCCAGTAAAGAGTAGCTTACATAAATGCTGAGAGTAGAGGTCATGCAACTACTTGTTCTTCTGTTAATTCATTATAAAGCATGTCTATAATTCAAAAAGTCAAAAAGTACTTGTGCTGTTTGTACTACAACAGTATGTTCATGCAAATATCTCTTTTGAACAGAGACAACACAGCTCCTCTGAAAATCAATACATCCTCATCTCTACCTTTAATCTCTTACACTTGACATACTGTATCTCCTACATTCACTGAAATGGACTATTTTAAATTAACTGGTAGAAACTTCCTGTGATTTCAGATCGCTTTGACATAGATTTTAATGGTTATCAGTTTAAGACGTTTGCTTTTCCATTCACCTAACTTTATGCACACTTCAGCACGTCTATCAAGATCCTCATGTTCTGCTTTGTTAATATTTTGACATTATTTTAAGTAACAATGAATGAAAACAAAACTAGCCTACACCCAAAAGAACTTCCAGCTGGCCCAGCCCAGTGCCAGAGGCTCTTTCTTTCTAGCCTTCATTCCACATAAACAATCATATCCAGCATAATAGGGCATTTTTGGCCACACACAGTTTTGCTTTTTACTTATTTTATTTTTTCAAATAACAACAGTTGTTTGACGTAAGGGCAAATTTCTCTGACAACTTCCTCCTTTTGTTTTTATACGTGGCTTGAAGGGCAGTGCATCAAATTTATGGCTTTCAGTCCTCAGTCTGAATTAAAATAATCTATTTAAACTTCCATGGCAATTATCAAGAGACCATGATCTCTCTCACTAATTTGTCTGTTGCCTCCCTGTAGGCAAACTTTCTGTGTAGCCTGGTGCATTGCTTCTATCCACTGACAGGAAATTTAGGCTGGCTGCAGTTATACTTCAGAAAACACTGCTGTAAGCTTCCCTTGACTGAGACGTGTTCCACTGGCCACAGGCAGAGGTTCTACACTGGGGGATGCTGAGCTCAGAAATTACTGTTCCTTGGGTGATTCAATAAAGAAACCTATAAAAGAGGTAGATCTCATTCCTATCTTGGGCTACCTCCACCCCTTCACCTCTGCTCTGATTTCCAAGCCTCTGCCAACACCACATGTGCCATGCAGTCTGTGTGGCTCCACTGCACTGGTTTATCTGCATTCTGCCTCCAGTGGTCTTTGTGCAGTTAAATTGACTTCTTGTCCCCAGACCCCTATCTGGCTTACCTTCTGCCACCCTAAGAAGAGTTTCTGAGTTCACCAGTAGCAAAATATGGAGATTCTCAACAAATTTTCTCATTAAGGAAGTACAACTAGAGCAAACACTCTAACAGTGATGACAGCTGCAGGTGCAGGCAATGAAGGTAAAGGGAGGTGAGAGTACTGGAAGGACTTCTAGCTGGTGGCCCCAAATGCCAAGGTACTCCATCAAGCTCTTTTTCCTTTCCTGTACCCTTCCAGATCAATAGGTTTCTTTTTGTCTTTGTAAATGTGCTTCCTGAGCAGCAGGGAACACCATCATCCTATAAAAGCATGGATGTGAGGTTTCTCAACCTAAGGAGGAAACTGAATTCACATCTTCCAGTCATGAATTCTCTGACCATTAGACTGCCAGCTCTAAATCTTGTGACTGAATTTTGAATAAACAAAGTCTTCCTTAAGTCTTTCAACTAATGATGTAGGTATTTCTCCTTGTGAGCGATTTGTGGATTTGCATTCTGAAAGGGTGGGCATACTCCTGCCTAATCCTGATGTTCCTGCCTGCCCTCCTGATGAAGGAGAGCACCACCCTGATGGTTAATGCAGGTCTGTTTGTTTTTCCGATGTACCGGATTGCCTCTGTATGCTGTACGGGGACCCTATGCACTAAAAAGCTTCAGGTTTTGGATCCCAGTCTGGGGCCAGGCAGTTAGGATGTGGGTGTCACAGCAGTGATTGTCTTTATTATTTCCATATTTAGGCATCTAAGGGTCTAAGAAATAGGAGCAGTGCAAGTTCAGAAACACTGAAAAGATGAGTATTTTGCAGGGAAGCCAAAACACGGCTTTGCATTCTAAGGGAGCACCTGCTTACAGACTGGCCACCATGTTTCTGTTGCTTTTGAGCTTCCTCAGATTAAAACTAAGTCTTTCTCCCTTCTAGCTATTAAAGCTCACATAGACAGGGGTGCCACATTCACCTATCTGGGTCTGTGTAAAAGCCAAGACAGAAACAACACAATTACATTCAATTGCAGAAAGAAAATCAAATAAACTTGAAATCTCTTGGGAACCTTGCACACTTTCTGTGTTTGTTGTTTTTTATGTTACTGTCTCCTCAGGCACCCCAGAAGGAGATTGTCATCATTGTGAGGAACTATCAGTACAGGCTGAAAAAACAGTCAAGAATGAGCTGAGTCCTACTTCCCACAGGGCTGTAAGTGTCCGACGAGCTTGGAGACTGGAAGGAAGTCACACATCAGACAGATGGTACAGACTCATCATTTAGAAATGTATTTCAGAACTGATGTTTTACTACCCAGCTCCTCAGTATTATATTTAGAAGTACCCATCAGAGTTCAAAGAACATGGGGCAAGACCCCTTGGTTCTCCCTCTGATGACTCAGAAATTAGGCACGATTAGGCAAACGGAGACATAACAGAGCCCTAGCAGCACACAACGTAACGTGGCCATGTAAGGTTGTTTCTCTTTTGCATGAATCAGGCTACTATTTGCTAGCTCAGCAAGTCTGAATCCCAAAGTCAGCATTAGGAGAGGGTTCACATTTACAGCCAGGCTTTGAAGTTAATCCAAAAAAAGTCTGTGATTCTTCTTGGCTTTTGCACAACATCTGTCTCTATCTTTGTTGGCTGGTTGAGAAATTTGGGCTCTTTTTGTTTACTTAAACACGTCTAATCACTGCACGTCATTTAACTGTTATTTCTTATGGGAGTTTGGGTTTTAAGGTGACAGATTGCAACTGTCAAGAGGCAAAGGGGGTCAGCTGTTGACAGTTAAACTAAGTGGAAAAGGAAGCAGTCACTCAGTGCAGGGCTGGTCTGTTGTGGCAACAAAATGCATAGGCTCATCCATAGACCCCTGATGAGAAACATGAATTACTTCATCCTAGCTGTAACCAATCACATTGAATTTTTATCAGGTTTGCATTAGAGTATCTATAAGGAGACATTGGCATATCTATGAGGAGAAAATGGAGACTGACAGCTTGTGCTCAACTGCAACGAGCACAAAGAATTTCTTCTGCAGATCATCATGTCTTCATTCAGATTATAACACAGTTGAGGAATGTTGCGTGCCACCATCATCCTGCTTTCTTTGGCATATGAAAATTCTGCACGTTAAGTGCATGTGCCAAAGAGTTTGTGATGTTGCCGCAGAGAGAGCAACTTTTCCTCTAAGTTTCTGTACAAAAGCATTAGTGTGGGGTTCAGCCTCTCCCTTGAACGCTGTGTCCTGGTTCAGAACCACCACAACCTCATTATTTTGACTGCATTTTAATCCTCACTTTGAATCTGCAGATTTCAGCCGTGCTAACAGCAGTCATTTTTTTAGGTGTACCTTACTTTACTTCTGGGATGACCTTAGGAACTCCAAGTTTACAGGCTTACTAAAAGCAAAAGATGCCCTTTTTAGGCAACTAATTATGCTCTATCATCTTTTATGGTGATGGTTGTGTAACTGTTCATTTTAAAAGGGGCTTTGAGAAAGGGAACTGTTTGGAGGTGAGTGGGAGGAAGGCAACCAGATCCCATCAGGCTACTTGCTCTCTCTCTCTTCTCAATATATGTTTGCATGTGAAGCAGGGGTCAAGTTATTCTGGCAGCTTTTTAGACATATATGGGAAGATGCAACAGTTCTCTGGTGACTACTGTTTTTATGTGGGGAAAAAAATCCTGTTGCTTTAAGTGGAGTTTTCTGTGAGTCTTTCTTTTGTAAAGCTTGAAAGCTACTGTCTGAAGGAAACAGAAATGCTTCTGAAGGATACAGAGAAAAGGTAAAATCCTCAAAGTCCATAAAAAAATGTTTGATAGCAAAGGTACGTAAGGACAGAGCAATACTGAAAGATATACATGTACTTGCAGGCATGTTTGTCATGGGGTCTCAGCACCCAGGAAGCCTACAGGATGGCTCCTTCCAGCCCCTGCCTCAAGCTCACTAAGTGCAGGGGGATACAGTCATAGCAGGAAGGATTTATTAGGGGAGAAGGAGGAGCTAAAGGGACCACAGCACCCTCATTGGCACTGCCTGTATCCCAAAGCAGAGCTGTGGCCCTTATCCACCATCCAGATAGGAGGGCAGAGGAGGATGTTTCAAATCAGCTGGACAACACATCCTCTGAAGACATCTCTGTCTGGCCACGGACTGGAGTTAGAAAACCACCTTTGGCATGTAACTTTCAGATGACTAAAGTTGGGTAAGATGAGTCCTCCTGCTCCTGTATTAATCATGCTACTAAATTTCATGCAGTTATCTTTCTTCTGAGCCTAAATTAGGTTTATAATCTAGAAAAAGCTTATATTTTAGCTTTTTAAATACAAGCTCTGTAGCTTATACTGTAGAAAAAGATTCTGTCTTGCTTAGGAGACTCAGAGAAAAGAAGATTAATGTCTTTTGTAGCTAGTTTCTTCCAACTGTTACAGATCCTTGGTCACAAACAAAAACTCAGAGAAACACTTTCTGTTTCTCATTAAATTTGTTTAGCTTTAATCTCTTATAGTTATTTTTTGCTACATACTAAACTGGACTCAGAAAAACATTTATGAGACTAACTCCCACTGAAAGAGCTGTAAATACCCTAGAAAACTGGTGTCTAGGATCTGTGCAAGGGGGTTCATTTTTGTTTTTTGTTTTTTGTTTTAACAAGACAAGGCTTTGGTCCTTGCATGGTTAATTAGATTTCACCAGCAGAATGATGAAGAGAAAGACTTGGTGGAATCCCAAATGTGACTTATCTTGTTCCCAGTACTGTAGCTAAGGGAGCTAAGCATTATCTTATGTTTGGTGAGGAAGATGGGGAAGGTTCACTGATGACATTGCTTGGACACAACAGTGGTCAAAATTATCATGAATAGTTGTAGCCATGGATAATTTTTTTGCCTCTCTGTCTGTCTCTCTGTCTCTTTGTATTAGGGACAGTGAAGTAGCTGAGCTAAGCTCTTAACTGAATTTAACAGGGACTACCCAGTCTGCAAAGATCCCACCTGCTCTCTTGTTTCTCCAGCAAAGCAAGTTGAACGAGGAAGAATTTCTTTTATCTACCTTCACATTTGAGGAAAAGGAGAAATTAACTTAAAAGGTATGAATAGCTCAATTAAATCTCCTGTTGTAAACTGAGCATTCTCCATTCTACTTTTTCTAGGGTAAGAGGCACTGTGGGGATAAACCAAAGCTTCTCCCATGGCTATGGGGAACACAGGAAGGTTGGTTCCAAGTAGAAAGACAGGGAGATTTGAAAGTCCTTGAAGAAGGAAGGCAATAATTGACCAGTTTGATCAAGATAGGATCTGCAATTATTCCTAGTTAACAGTGAACTGAATTGAAATTTCTCGGTGTACTGCCCGGTGTTAAAGATATTCATCCAGAGTGCCGATAGTCTTATTAATCTCTCCTGCAGAGTGCTTTAAAAAGTTATCTCTAAGAAAAACAGATCCTTCAGAGGAGCACCACAGCAACATACGTCTGGAAAGTTTTACATTTTGGATCTCAATATATACTGTGTGACTTTTTGATATCCAAAGACAAGATGTAATATCTTTATATTTTCAGTAATGTACGTGTAATTCATAGAGAAGATTCCCTCAAAATGACCTTTTAGAAAACACTACTGTAAAAAGAGGCAAGTCCATAACAACCATATAGTACTAAAGACACCTGGCCAGCTACAAGATACCATCTCACGGTGCAATCCCACTGCCCTGTTCACTGTAAATACAACTCTGAGCAATTGAAGTTGAAAGTGCAAGAATTTGCAAGAAGTTGCTCATTCTTTCCATGCACCGCCCTTCTTTTTAGTGGTAAATCACAAATCATCTCTACTAGAGTGTTGAACGTCATACAAGTTTGGTACATACTACCCTAGATTAACAGACAATAACAACTTGTAAGCTGGATACAGTGTACACCATCTACTGTTTGGTTCCAAGACAGATCTTTCACCAGGAAAGATGCAAGCAAAGCAGAAAGCAGAAAACAAAACAAAACAGGAAAGGCGTTTAAAAATCATTGTAGAATTTTCAGGGAAAGATTCAGGACATGGGTTTGAGAGGGACTGACAGTGAGAGAAGGAAAAGCAGCATGCATATGACATGAACTAGTGAGATGCTACCTTCAAAGAAAGTGATAACATAAAAGGGTTTGCATTTGCCCCATTTAATTTCATCATTGATATTCTTAAATATCCGGTCAAGCAAAGATGCAGGGATCCACGTGTATAGAAAAAAATTTGTTTGCATTACCTGCAGGAAAGTTTGGACCCATAGCCGGGACCTGATTTTTAGCGCTGCGCTCTTCCCTCTTTCCAGTTGTCCCACGTTGCAGGAAATTAGGATACACTTCACATTTGTACAGTTCTGTGTACAAAATAAAAGGAAGTTATACATATACTTTAAAAATGTATGAAATCACTTTCAAATACTCAAAATTACCAAAACCAATCAACATTCCCTTTAAGGATTACAAAACCAATAGTTTTATATAATATGTATGAGGTGCCTCATGAGTGACTGTGAGACTATAAACCAATTCTTTTTGCACCACCAGTGAATACAACCAGCTACTGTAGTACTGAAAATGAAAGTAACAACTTTCACTAATTTAGTTTGAAGAACTCTTAAAACGGCCAGGTACTTCTCAAGCATGAAGCATATGCTTTGCCTCTATCTGTCAGTCATTTTGTCATTTCAACACATATTTTTTTCTGTTCTCTATGGCTGAAGCCTATATTTATGTTCTTAAATCTTTCCCCTCTTCCAACTCTCCCAGTTTTCTTACTGGTATTTACATTATAGCAGCCAGAACGTTTGCTGAGATTCATTAGTTGATCTACTTGAAACTTGTGGTCCATGAAACATTCCTGATGAGCAGTGATTCTGGCTTATACACAGGACGGAAGGCAAAAGCCAAGTAATGCAACTCAAAACTATATGCTCTGTTAAAGTCTGCCAGAAGAACGTCACAAAAATTATTAAAAACTGACTAGAAGCCACTGGAGGGAATGAGCAGAGTCTCATGGGGAAACCACAGAAATGATGGGGTTGTTTGGGGTATAGAAAGGAAGGCAGATCTCATAGAAAAAAAATAATGATTAAAAGTGTGTCAGGATTTGAAAAAAAAAGAAAAAAGAAAAGTATAGCTGTATCTATACAAATGATGTTTACCCCAAAAGTTTGGTTTAATTCAAGAGGAAGGCTAGGGTTTTAATTAATTCATATTTTTTTAACAAAGCATACATTAGCCGTCTTACAGATACTTCACTAACACTTATGCCAGAAGATCTTGTGACCTTGATAGCAAAGCTGAGTTCCCACATGTACATTCCCTCAGGGGAGTAAGAATGGCTGTACTGCAAAGCCCATACTTCAGAAACTGAGATGATGATGGATGTAATAGATGTGAAAACACCCTTAAGGAATCCTTTATGGACAGCTTTCCCCACAGATTTCTACCTTATTACAAGTTAAATAGAAGCTGCGTGCTTAAGCACCCTTGTCTAAATTTGCCTGAAAATGAAACTGTAACTTCCAAACTCTGATTTTTTTTTTTTTTTTAATGAGGATTTCAGAGTATCTGTTTATTTGGCTTTTCATATTTAAACATCCTCCATCCAGATTTATTTATCTTGCAGGAAGGAGGAGAGCTGTATTCATTAATCATAGTGGCCAAAACCACATATTAACAAAATAAATCATTAGTATGCAAAAAGACTACTTTTGGCTGACATTTTAGGACCTGAACACATATTTCTATTTTTTCTAAGTAATTCATTTAGCCCATAGTGCTTTTTAGAACACTGTAGAATTAGAACTAAAGGAAGAGAAAGCAAATGCTTAATAAACAGTATAAATAGAGTAAGAGATTCTCAGAACATCTTTCCTTTCTGTGAAAATGTTTTAATGAAAAAAAAAATAGAATTTCTGAAGAAAGAATATAAAATTTTGATCAAAAATTACCTTTAGCCAGTTAGGCATTTTCAGCAGCAACATTTGCTTTCCATAATCTCTCAATGACTCAAAATTAAGAAAAAAATATATTTTGGACCCCTAGTATGCAATGAAGATGTGGCATTGGGACCAGTTTCTAACTGAACATACTTATTTGGTTACTTTTCTATGCCCATCCTGAACAAAAACTGCTGTATTTCCATTGGTAGGCACTGTACCCAATCCTATCTAAATTTATGCTTATCTAAAGCATATTGTACTGTAAAACTGATCATCACATGTGCCAATTTCATATTCTATGTATTCAGCTAAACAGTCTCTGTCCACATCAAGCAGCTGAAAAATCTCTGCCTCGTATTTTAAAATGAGTAATAAGGTGCAGACACAGTACATACTTATGATCTTGGTTAACCATTCACAGTTGCTGCAGTGATTTCTGTGCTGGCAGCATACAAGTCTAATCACTGAGAAAGACAACTGACAATTAAGGTATTACTGAAGAATGGATTAAGTGTTCTGTGGTATTGACTGGTATGTCTTTGAAAGCCTAGGCATTTTTCCTTCAGCCCCAGTGGAATCAGATTCTTCCCAGGCTATTAGGTTAATGTAAGAATTACACAGGCATCAGCAGTGATTATTGTTTCAAATGGGTTCATCTGTGATTTTGTACTTAATAACATTATGGTATTCATTACTTTCAGGTTCTATCTTTTTCCTGTATTAAAAATTGCCAAATTAACTTTCGGAAGCAGCATTATTATTCTATTACTCCAGAATACTTAGGTCAGTGAGGTGCTTCTCTTCCTACCAAGGTCTGGTGATGTCAAGGAATTCAAACATGAGCCTGCAGCAAACAGCTTAATAAGAGAATGGACTGCATGAAAGAAACTGCCTGAGGTTCATAAAAATAAATGGCAAGGACTGACCACATTAATCCCACAACTGACCTCAAGGTCATCAACTTTGAACACAGCCTCTGGGCACGGTGAGCTGATGCCTGTAATTCTTGAGTATTCTTGAGACTGAACATGGAATTCAGGAATGGAAAAAAAGAAAACCCTTCTGAAAATACAGCCAAGTACAAATACTCAGGTGCCAGACCAACTAATCAGAACTCTTTTCCTGGACTAGCTAGGAGAGAGATCTTTGCTCTTGCTCATAATTTTGAGCACCTCAGCTGCTTTGGAGCATTGGTTGGAATGTTAAAAATGTGGTGACTTGTCCTGTCTGCCTTGCTTGTGGTACTGGGAAGTCCTACCTCTCCATGTATATATATACTTACTGAAAGGACCAAATATACTCCAAAGTATGTCAGGGCTGTTACTTTCCAGGAAAATGTTAATTTTAAGCACGAGCTATTGTTTATGAAAGAGCCAGAACACCAGGAGTCAAGTTAACAACGGAAGACTTACATTTCAGAAATCAGAATCTGAAATTTCATTCCTGGAACAGGGGCCCATTCTCTAACTTTCTACTGAACCTCCCTGTGATAAGCGTGTCGTTGTATGACCACAAAGGTCCACCTGCGTGTATGCAGCCAGAAGTAGCACAGCTAGGAATTTGGTATGCATGATATTTAATGTAAAAAACTGCCAAACAAAATCTGCAGCCTGTGGCACAGTAATATGTAGTAAACAATATTTTACAATGAGACGATAAAAGTTTCTTAGTATTTACAAACCTGTAAATAAATTGCAGTCACACTGATAGCCACTTTGATTATACTGCATACATAGTCCCAGTTTATAGATTCTATTTAACTCACCAGTATTTTTGCAGAGTTTCTCCTGTAAGGTTCTGCAACTGTGACCTCCCTTCTCCTGATATAATGAGAAATTGTGGAATTATACAAAAAAGCAGCAAGTTCAGGAGTGTCTTGTGGAATAGCAAACTGCAAAGAGAAACAAAAAGGCAAATGGTTATAATATATCCACACAATGAATCTAACAGATCATCTGTTCCCTTCTCAGAGGTCTTGAATTTTGGATTAACTTTTTTGTTTGTTTTTTTCCAGTTTAACAACTCAGCCATGACAGTATAATGTCTTCAACTAGGAGTATGATTAGTAATAGCACTGCAAGATATTGCCCAGTTATAGGAATTACAGTAGATAACATTTTTTCCCACTCTATTTTTACTGGAGTCATTGCTATACTTATTTTCCTTAGATGCTTGGGACTGGATTCTGATCTCTGTAACAGGATAAATTAGAAGTTGCTGCACTGAAATCTGGTCAATAGCTCAGATCAGAAGCTGCCTACTGGAATATAATGATTTTACCAGCATTAGAAAGAAACAAAAAAAAAAAGGAAACCTGAATTCTAGCAACACAGCTTTTAATCGTTGTTTGTTGAAGATTTTTTTTTTTGGGGGGGGTAACAACTTGACTTTGTATAATGCAACAGTTTGTTCATTCTTAAACTCATATTAAAATGCATCCTCTTCAGCTTTATCTTCATGGATTTTCAATATCTGAATAAAATCTAGTTTTACTGTTTCCATTTTGTCTTTAATTTATATACGAAGCATTTGTAGCTTCATTCAGGAAGCTTCAGAGAATGCTTGGGAACTCAAATTTCTACAGAGAGAAAGATAAATACTAATTTATGACAATCCTGTTATGTCGAATTAAATAAAATGTACTTGGAAATCTGTAAAAAGATCTCAAAGGAACTCACCTAAACACAGACACCACTATTCATAATGGGCCTCAGATTAGAAACAGCTATGTCAGATCCATCCTACTCGTTTCTTTAACCTCCGAGCACAAAATATTTAAATCACTAAAGAAAATGTTAGTAATTATAAAAAATATTGTAGCACTGAGGGGATGAGAACTGGCACAGCCATAGAAAACCCTCCATAAACTAATACTGCATTGTACTTGATTTGGAAAATCTGTACCATTCAAATGATTAAAATTATGACGCAAAAAAGAGTTTTGACATTGTCTGAGATTTTCAGTCAAAAGCATCCTGCAAAGTGGAAGATACTATAATTACTTAACTAATGAAAAACACTTAAACAAAAATGATTTTTTTTTCCTGAATTAGGTTAACATTGTCTTTTGCAATAAGGGAACAGTTAAATAGCTAGTAAATCTCTCCCTCTCCATGTGATAACATGTGGGAATTCTCTTTCCAGGATTCTTTCACCAGGATATATGGGATTCTTTAATGATGACAAATGAAAAGAACCACAATATAATGACACGCCTTTGAAGAAGCCCTCAATATACGAAGACAATATGAAGACATATGTAGACCCATTTGAATAGTAGATGATCTTTCCATTCACTTATTTTTTTCATAGATCCTAGTGTCAGCATCTTCAGTACTGAATTATTACAGCTAGGACTAGAAAACAGCCCTCGGCAATTAAGAAAAAGCATACATCTCATGCAACAGTTCAAAAGTAGAATTTCTCCAGTGCCTTAAATATTCATGTTAAAGATACTACATTAAAGTTATTGTTTCATCTGTCTTGAGCCAACAGCACAGAACTGGACAACTGTCTCAGTAGCCATTCTATATATAATATTTTGCACATTAAACCTTACTTGAAATGGATTCTTGCTCCTTTTCTTTAACTACAATGGACTTTCTTGGTTTTCCCACCAGGAAAAAACTATACTGCTCTTTCCTATCCTCAGCCTTGTCATCTTGAGCAGATTTCCAGATATCTCCAGTTCTTCACTTCTCATGCAAAAAGCCAGTTTATTTTTCCTCCTTTTCCAGCCTCTTGCTGCAATGTGCAATTGCACCAGAAATGCTCTGAAGAGGATATTTTGTGTGTGTGTCTCCAGACCAGAACTTACATGCATTGATAACAGCTCCACAGTGTGAGGAGATGCCACCTCTGGCACAGGTTAGCACCTGCCAGCCACTTTAGTGGATGTACCTTACCCCTGGGGTGGCTTTTGGTCACCCCGTACGGTCTGTCATAGTTGGAAGCCACAGCCTATCCCTCTGGTATTTATAGGCACAGGCTGCATAGAATTACTTTTTGCTATTAGCCTGGAAAAAAAGTAATCTCAGAAGTACTGGATCAGGCCAAAGGCTTACTGGCTGAGCCTTCTTCTCATCAACTCTGCCTTTAAACAGATGTGGAAAGAAGAGTAAGAACAGGGCATGCATACATGATACTCTCCTAAAACTGCAGCTTCCACATGTTTTCAGCTCAGGGACTTCCTGATGTGGATGAAATTTCTGTTCATTTATTAATCTTCACTGGACTTCTGCAGATTTGTCCAGTTTCCTCCTAAAACCATGTAAACTTTTAACCCCCACTACTTCCTCTGGCAACAAGCTCCAGACATCTAATACATGTTGCACAAAGCACTGCTTCCCTTTGCTTGCTTTGACTCCGACTCTGCGAGCTTCGCTTGATGCTGCAGTTCCTGTGCAGTGAACACTCTGCACGCATTCCTGGGCAGGAGCAGGCACGGAGCAGTCAGTCCCCACCCGCGGGTCTGACACTTCTGGCCTTGCAGATCCTAGCTGGATACAGTCACCTCCTCTCTAGATTGAAGCATCTAGGGTACCGACTTCTTCTGTGCAGGGGGTCTGTTCCATGTCTTTGATCAGTCCTTTTGCTCCTCGGTACGCCATTTGGAAGATTCATTGTTTTACCACCACCACCCCCAGAGTAAGATAAGCTACAGAACAGGAAAAGCCCCTACCTAGGAGTCTTCCCATGCGTGCCCAGGTTTACAAGCAAAATGTGTCTTTGTGAATGAAGCAATGGAACATAAAGGAAAGCTTTCTACAAGACAATAAATTCAACAATAGGGAGGAATATACTGCTTTAACTGAAACTGAACAATCCACATAATTTTAAAGGGGAAACACCCCAGCACCCTAGGAGAGCTAGGTTCTGAAACCCAAGAGCAGTCAGACATGCGGTGTCCTCAGCCTTATTTGGAAATCTGAGCCAGATATCCCGTGTTTACACAACCCCCTGCATCCTCTTCCCATCTGAAGCATAACACAAGCCTTAAGTATTTGAAACCTGATTTGTGTATCCATGCTGTGCAGTGCTTCGAGAAGCTAAAACAATGAAAGGATGTTTAATTCTTGCAGTAATGACTGAGCATCTGAGGCTGTCTTCTGCTGAGACAGATGGACCGGTATTTCATTAGTACAAGATGGGTTCGCACAAGCCTCACAAAGATTTAGTCTTCTTTATGTAACAGATGTAATCCTTATCAAATAGGACATGAAAACCAAATTCAAAATATTAAAAAGTTGCCAAAAGTACATTGCCTGAAAATGTCATTAAGAGCTGTGGCACTACTCCACCCAGAAGCTCTGTCCTCCTGACAGTGATGTTCCCATCCCAGCTTTTTAATTGAACCACTGCAACTTAAAGCAGAATGCAGCATGTATTTCATGTATTTGAAACCTGATCCAAGCAATGACTTTGAGATGCTAGGCTTGCAAATACAAATTTGGCAGCTCACTTCTTGTTCCTTACCACTTTTAAAAAATAGGTGCAGAAAATACCTATTTCCAAACCTGTTTTGTTTCAGACACAAAATGGAAACATTTTCCATCCTCACTTCCCTATCGCTCATTTCATTTTTCATCCCCTAGTGAAACTAAATGACAGGGTGTAATCCTAACCCTTCTCTGGCTTCCTTGGGGAAAATGCAAAAATTTAGAAATAATGTTTTTGTTACACATCAGTTTTTCTATATGCTTGTAAGTATTTTCTGTATTTCTGTCTCTGTAAGCTACAGATTTGTCACATAGCTCCTGTGGTGGGGAGCAATCCTCTTCAGCAGAAAGATGTCTCCACTTTCATCCACTGTACTGAGCTCAGCCCCTCCTGGTATGCAGACGACGTATAGCAGCTTTAGCGTTTGGAACGCGGCTCACCCCACAAGATGTTTAACAGACTACTGGTTAAACTCGAGAAGTGTTGTTTACTCCAGAAGTGTCTGGAAGCAGTTATGCTTAATAAACTGGATACCTTGTTTTTGATGGGATAATATGTAGAGCTGTGTTTTGCTAAATCTTCTGACTTTGAGCCAAACCCAATTCTTCTTGCGGGATCTGCCATCGCAAACACAGATCTTAAAACAGGCTTTTAGACGCTGGCCTATCAACAGTGTGCTGAGGAGGCTGCTACTAGGCTTCCCCTTGGTACCACCTTCTCCAAATTCTGAGATCTACAGCTCTGCTGTAACAGAGGAACCACATCCATGAAAGGAGAAACAATTTAAACAGAAAACAATACCTAGGAGTAACATGAAGAAAATGGTTGGGGATTTCTTTTTTTTCCTTTCTGTTGGTATGATTAAAATAACTACAGAACCATTTCCAAGTGGATAACAAAAAAAAAAGAAACAAAACCAAAAAATGCCTGTCACAGCTGACATGGATATAACTTTTAATGATTTAATATTGATTAAGGCATAAAAATAATTTTAGACTAAGTCCTTTTATCAGGTGGCAATACAGGAAAATTTTCATTTCTGGAGTATACTCAGTGCAGAATCCAATTGGTAGTTTACTTCATAGGATATTCAAAGCATGTTCTTTGAAAATTTAAAATCATGAACATTTTAAGACAGGTAAAAACTGTATTGGCTTCCGAAGTGCCTCTAATTTTACAGAGTATACTGTCTCAAACTATGCTGAACTTGACCATACTACAAAATATAGTATGTGATATTAACCATATGTATCATATACTTGGTGCAAGGAATACAGCAGCAATATAGGCTGAGAGGCTGAGTGGTTATGCAGCAACTCTGCAGAAAAGGACGTGGGTTAAGCTGTGGAGGAGCCAGCAGCATGCCCTGGCAGCAGCGAGCACTGTGTGAACAGGAGCACAGGCAGGTTGAGGGACCAGTGCTTGTTCAGCTCAGAGGTGAGATGGCTCCAGGGGGGAAAAAAGCACTCTACTAGCTACAAGGAAGTTATCACTAAAATGGGGCCAGGCTCTTCACAGAGGCTCATGATGGGAGTATGAGAGACAATGAGAGTATGTTATGAGGTTCAGGCTGCATGTCTGAAAAAAACCCTTTCCCCCTAAGCACAATCAAGCAGCAGCAAAATTTTCCTAGAGAGGCTTTAAGCTGTAATTAGACTGTAATCCTAAAAAACAAATTTAACAGCCAACACAAGTTAGCTGTAAATTATATTATTGAAGGAAAAAACAAACAAACAAACAAACAACAAACTAACTAAAATTGTGTTGTAACTCAAAATACTCTAAAAAAATACTTTATGGCACAATAGTTGGTGGCTGCCTGCTGTCTATTAAACAGCTGTAAGAATTTAATGCCTTTCATTCTGCTAATATTGCAGTATTGTGCTATAAAGCATGTTCCACACTGCTAACAGGTTCAGATCTAAGACCTTGTGAAAAACAAACCCGTGCTATGCTGTAGCAGACTCAACTGAAGATTTATGTCACCTTTGGGAACTCATCTGTTAAGCTCTGCTGTACAGGTGACTTTCTAAATTAACGTAAATTAACAAGAATTTTCTAGGTCCTATGAAAACAGTAGAATTTTCTGTCATCTATTCAAAGGCATGTTAGAAAAGGCTCTCCATAAAAATACTAAAAACTTCTATTTTAAAATTATCTTGTATCTAATGCTGTAACACTGAATCAACGCATATAACTTTCTGCTGATAAGAAGAGTATAGAAACCAAACATATCACAAAGCACAGCTGTCACACTGGACTCATAATGGACTATCTCTTGCTTTTTACCCATGAAAATGGCATCAGGGCCATTCTGAAAAAAAAAAAAAAAAAAAAAAAAAAGCTCCATCCTATTGTGAAGAATTAGGCAGAAAATGCAAGCAAATATAGAGAGGGATGGAAATAACAGTGAGTGACTTACCTTTATTTGCATTGTATTAATAGGAGAGCTTGTCTGACAGTGCAGTGGTCCGTGTGTCTGGATATGGAGAATGTAAAGAAGAAATTCTTCATGACTGGACACAGGCCAACCCACATGGAGAACTGTGTTGTTGATGGCACTGGGTCCTATATTGTGAAGCTGAGAAACAAGTATTATCAGTGCTTTCAAAGGCAGTGAATAATAGCTAAAGACACAGCAATCGCTACTTAGCCGTTTCCAAATTCCTAATGTTCGCAGCCCTGAAGTACTTCAGGAAAGTTGTATAGATTATTATTATAATTTTATTGATGTAAAATCTGTGTTAGGGAATGAAAAAGGACCTTGACATATTAGTTCAAAAAGCCAATGGCAAATCTGGGAGAACAAGCTTTTTTGTCTGAGTCTGTATTCAAGACAGACTTTCCCACCTTTCCCATTTTTTCATACATATGAAAGACCTGAAGTTGCCAAATTATCTTACAAAAAAAAAAAAAAAAAAAAAAAACACCAATCAAGACCCAAACCAAAACACCTTAGCAAAATGCACTACACAAATATAAACAACAAACCATAACAGAAAATACTGGAAAATAAAAGGTGAAACTTCATGACGCAAAAGAATCACATCTCAGGCTGCAGGAATAGAAGGTGTAGCAAAACATAAACTAGTTTTTGTGGTTAAGAACTCTATTTCCAGCACTTCTCGGTTCATATTTCCCAAGAAGGAAAAAAAAAGGAATTAGCTTTCCTAAAGTAACATTACATGACATCATTCTTTTCTGGGAAAATAAATAAAGATAGAAATAATAGAAATTAAAACTTGTGTGCTGTTGAACTAGTTTGCAATTTGAAAATATCTGATGACCACATAAAGTTTGGGTATGTGCTAGCACTGTATATGAGAGGTACACAAGCAGAATGCCATGGAACTTTGCTCAAAGTTTCTGGAGATGTGAAATAACTTAAAAAAAAATAAAAATTGGAACCAAATAAAACCTACTTTCAGTCTTACATCTTTTTCAGTAAAGGGCTTTTATGTTGCTGTTTGGGCTTTTTATGCTTTGCTGATATCAGTAAACCATGAAAAAGGCTTTAATCACTGTAACTATTGAATCACTGTAACTATTTAAATATGTTTGAGGTCACATATATTGTTCCATAAACAGCTAAAATGGCTGAGACAGGAAAATTTGTTAGAGATTTTCTGTTTAGAGAAATGTGTTAAGATGAGGAATTCACAAATATTATTTTGTATTTCATAGCCTGATTCACTGCAGGTTAGTATGTTATGCAAATTTTTATCTTACACTGTTGATTAAGCTCAATTGCTTTTATTCTCTTGACTGCTGGTTTGTGAATTGTAACCACATGTGATGCCCTAGAATAAAAGTTATCCATCACATTCCAAAGTTGGTCTGTATTCTGTGTAGTTCACTCAATGCACTTGTTTCTAACCTGAACTCTTCTCCTCACAGCTTTTAATGAAGAAACAGTCAAGTCACTAAAAATATTTGACATCGGCTGTAATGAGCTGTATGCACTGTTTTTAATTCTTGCCAAACACTCCAAATGTTTATAAATCTATTAAATGTCAAAGGCAGATTTCTACCATAAACTTGTGTCACCTCCATTAACATGAAAAGGGTTGTGAATTTCTGGATTAAATTCGGGTTAGGTCTTAAAGTTCAAATATTTACAAATATGACTTCATCTACTTGCCGATAAAGACGATAATCCAAATTCATCAGGATTTCATTGGAAGCAGCGTCACATCCTATAGAATCAGGATGTGATAGTATCTGGCTGGTAAGATCAGATGGTATCTAACTGATGAGAATTAGTTTTACCTCATAGATGTGTTCAACTAAAGGACCAAGTTCTTCTTCTTTTGTAGGTTCTTCTTTGGGTTCCCAGTTGTGAAGCGGCAAAACAATTTGTGGGGGGTGAGACACTCTGTAATATATAAGATAAGTTAAAACTGTATCCGTTGCTAGTGATCATCTGCAGTACTTTTAGAGAAATTAAGAAAAATTAAGACCCCAATAGTGACCTGAAACCTTAAGGGCACTTTATTTAGGCACATTCATTACAGTTAGGTGAGGAAAACAATGTGATGCCTCCATAAAGTGCTGCTGACTCTTTACAGGCTTCCAAGGGTGAGCATTTAGTTTCAGACTTCCTCTGAAGGGCAATTCTTTCCAAGCAAGGGAGTAGCTCCTTCTCTGTTGGTGAAGAGGAATGCAGTCTGCCTGGCATTTACATCATTCTCACAGATGAGTTATCTGAATACATTACCACAAAAGTAGCGTAATGATATGTAAATAACGCATTTTCCATTTAAGCCTGTAGATGCCTCATGCCATCCATATAACTTTCCTGCAAATATTTTTTAAATATTTAATTTCTTTGAACGTAAATTCCTCATGACCTTTGCTATTATCGCTTTTAAAAAAGGAATGATAAAGTAGTCATTTACCTCATTTTACAGGTGGAAAGCTGAGGTACAGGTAGGGCAAATGACTTCCATAAAGCCACAAAGCAAATTGGTGTAAAATTGGTGTATCAAGAAACTGAATTCATAGGCAGAGCATGAAACAGTGCTCCAGGCTTTCCCATTTGCTTTGCAGACAAAGTGGTAGCTAGGGCATTGCCCAAAACACTGTTGCAATGTCAACAATGAAAATCAAAAATAAATTTAAAAATACAGGGACTTTGACATCTTTCTTTAGGTCTGCTATTTTGTTTTTCCTTTCCTTCAGGGTCTGCTCTTAAGAAGGGAACAAGCAGTCTTCTGTTAACATTTCCACTTGAATCACAAGCATTATTTCCTATGAAAACTGAAAGTTGCCTGGAGGTACTTCATTCAGATGCCAACTTTAACCTTGTTTAGTTGTTGAGATCTTGGGAAATCAGATTCCAATAATTTCTTCCATCGTGGTAGGTGAGTGCTGGCCCAGATATCTGTCATCTGCTTGTGTTGGAAGTAGTTCTTGGTGCTAAAACAGTAAGCATTACCCTTCCTTTACAAGGGTCAGCTCTCACTCACTTTTGCTGCTTCCCAGATTCTTTAGCTAAGAGGAAAGGCATTGAATTTCATTGCTTACTCTACTAAAGCTGAGAGTTTGCTGATAGAAAACTGTTAAAGCAAAAAATTTAAATTGCTGATTTTTTTTTTTTTTGGTGCAGAATATAAAATTTGAGTGAAATGATGGACTTCATTCACTGATGTCAATTCCCTTTCACTTGAGTGTAAACAGAGGAAGCATCACTGCAGAAACAGTTTTCCCCTTGAAGAAGGAGAACAGAAAACCAGAAGATTTTGTTACAAATCCTGACATTTTCAAAATATTTTAGGAAGAAGAAATGTTCCTGCTTCCAGCTCTTATGCCATATACAATGAATGAAATGTCTGACATACTTTTTCACAGAGCAGAGCTTCTCAAAGCAGGGTGAGACCCTGGAAAAGAATAATGTAATACCATCCAGCTAAAGTACAGATCTTCATGAAATGTAGGGCATCCTGGAGAATCCTGCTAACTCTTCCCCAGATAATACTTCCCCAGACTTCAAAATGCCACTAGTTCCTACTAACAAGCATGTCAGAAGACAAACTGAAAAGCAAAGCCAAATAATAAAGAAAATGAAGCATATTCATAAAATGTCATTTCAGATGACATTTTACTTATTAAGTTTCACGATTAACCTTCCAATGAGAACTTTAATTATAAACTGTCTGTGGAGAGTGGGACCTTTCCTGTGTAGTCAGAAAAGCCAAGACATAGAGACCTTTCAGCTACCACAAAAATTTTCAAAACACAAGGTGTACATCAACAAAAAGAAGCAAGGTTTTAAAAGTCAGTGTTTTCTGTTACATTCCCTGCACAGTGTTTTTCTCATCTATGGAATTACAAAGTGCGAAGTGCAAACATAGACATGCAGTTAAAATGATTATAAATTATGTAAGAATGCGTACATTTATTTTAATAGATTTTACAAAGATATTTTAAGCACTTCTGCCATTGACATGAAGGTAATAAAATCAGGCCAAATAAAACAGAAATCCTCTCTTTTGACTATTTTATTTTGTTATTAATTTAGAATATTTTGACATTTGAATGGTTTATTAGGTGAGAATTTTTCCTGGACTTTTAGATGACAATGATCTGATAAAGACGAGCACTGAAAAAAAACAAGGTAAAAGAAGTTCTACAAAGAATGGTTATATGGGATATACTAATAAAAATTCTGCCTGCTGCTAGTCTTCCCAGTCCAAATAGCTTCCTTCCTAAATCCCTCATTGCTCTAATGCTCTTTCAACAGTGGAAAATCATAATTACAGCTGTAAAACTCTTAAATTTTTATAGAGATAAAGGTAAGCAGCATAATTAAATGTCAGTTATCTGAGCAACTATTCATTGAATGAACAATCTAAGCAGTTATCTTAAATTTCTTTTGAAGAAAGATTTCTTCCTTTCTCATAGAGGTAGTATTTGCATGCATCTACTGTGTAAGTTTATATGCATGTATGCATATGCACAATCTGGTAACTGCACTTAGTTTTCTCAGTAAAATATAATGATTCTAGTCCCACTTCATCCACCCCTACTGCAGAGCAGTATGGAAATCAGTGTAAGATATTTTCCAGTCCAAATGTGGACACAGACTCTCTTTTATTTTTATCTAGGAAATAATGAGCAAATAGTTCCCATGGAGCTGTGTGTTTCACCATCTCTGAGTAATTAGCAAAATCTGTCAACAAAGCATTTTGGAATTTTCCTTTGTACACACATATTACAGCTAACATGAAAACCAAAGGACTTAAGAGGAAAGGAACTGGAAGTCGTTCAATTAAATAATTTTCTGTATTTAACAACCTGTTTCTTAGCACTGCAGGCAGCAGTTCAGGCCCGTTTTTCCACTC